CCGCCGATGAAACTCAATATTTTGCCAAATTGTGGGATAGATAATGCTGTGAATGCAATGGCCACCATCAATATTGTCCTGGTTATACATCGCTTATAAGTAAAAGCTATTCAAATAAAACAAATTTATAGACAATTTCATAATTCATAAGAAATTATTTTCCATACTTTGGGGTATATTTACAAATGACTCAAATTCTTGTGCGACGGGATTCAGGAGTATTAGAAACGCGAGAAATAAATGAATGGCAAAACAGACAGAGATTGCCGTTTTGAGGCCACCATCAGTGACTGAATTCAATATATCATTTTGAACTATACTCCCATAGACTGTGAAACCCGTGACACTTACGGGAAGGTATAACACTATCAGAACTATAGACACATACAATCAGTCAATGAATATGAAATAAAAATTATTGTTTTCTATATATTACGTATAAATCCGACGATAACTGCGATCGGGAATTTGGTTTTGTCTTTCATGTCGTTTTGCTGTTACAATTAGATATAAATAATTATGCATATGATATTATAGTGTAATTTAACTGGATGTTAATTACAAATGTGGGAAAAGCAGCGGCGCCTCCAAAGGCAAACACAACTGTCCCGAAGCCGAGGAAAAATGACGAGAATGTCGGCGCTTCGTAAGTGGCGTGCGATATATGTGTGGGCGCATCGATACCCACTTCAATCATCAGTAATACAAGTCCTAAGATTGTTGTGCCGATCGCACCGACAGCCAGAGGCCAGAAGTCGGCCGGAGATCCCAACCAAGAGAGGGGTATCAATAGTAGTGCTATTATAAGAATCCAATCACAGAAAGTGACTTTTCCTAAGAAGGTATGAGTGAGAGATTCGACTAATTCTGAGCACAACAGCAGATATACAACGGCACCGCCGAAGAAGGTTACTTGCATTACAGCTGAACAGACATAGCTTTCAACAAATTATATTACAATATTAAATATTTGCATAACATTACAATTAATTAGAAAAATTAAGTTTATGCCATATTTGAAAACTATTCGTATATTTAAAAGTTAATCTTTTTAAAGTAGTATAACTTATAAATGAAAGTAATTTATACTTTTCTTCTATTAATAACTAATTTCTTATATAACTAATGTATAAATACCTCATCCATTGTCCATTTGATCGGTAACCGATAGATGCAAACGGATTTCTGGTTGGACTCCTATATTCAGGCCATCGCTCTTCAAGCATAAGCCAACAACGGGCTAAACACACACCAGAANCATCGCTCTTCAAGCATAAGCCAACAACGGGCTAAACACACACCAGAATAAGCAGCTGTTAAGCCAATGACTATGATTACAGCAATTCCTGTCCAGCCTATGGTGTCATTAAATTATAAATATAAAATATCAGTAAATACTTATGAGTTATAACGGTAACAATAAATATTTATAACGCCGACACACTGTAGTACATTAGCTCTATGAAAATACTATTTCCCCAAACTTTTTGTAATTAATTTTATTGCTTATACAGTACAGTATTAATAAATGTCACAAAAAAGCTGTTAAAATTCTGTTTATTATCAAAAAATAAATATATTGTATAAACGCTTGACATACTATATATACTATAATATATACTATGCTATAAATACAGAAATATTATATAATTGATGAAAACATACCCATATCTGCGAGAGCATCGGGAAGGGCTAAAACTCCACTGCCGGCCAGTTCACCAGCAATGAAGACAATAGCCGTGAGAACGGATAAACCCTTTTTGGGTTCGTGTAAAATGCCGGC